AAATGAAGAAGTGATATGCATGCATGAATATAATTCTAAACTAATTCTCTGCATCTATCAGTAGCCATCAAATAGTCATATATTCCAATCACTGCATTATAGCCATACTTGAGACACCCAAGGAAAGAAATCAACACAATTTTTACATATCCTCCACTGATGGCATCTTACAAATGCTGATTAAACCCTTGCTTTTGTTATTTTTTAATCAACCAGAAGTAGGTTCTTAAAAAAAAAACATTTGCAATTGGAAAATAGCTAGTATTTTTCTCAAGGAAAAAGATGAACAAGTAACTGCATAAAGAACATTTGCGTAATGGTATTTCAATCAACCATACCAGGCCATAGCAAGGTCAATTGCCAAAAGAATGAATTCGCTTTGCAATTTCATCACATTTTCTTTTCTTTAATCAAATTCCAAGAATGTTAAGATTTAATGTCAATGCTTTTGTAATTATCTGAACAAGCATTCACCTTTTGTTTTTCTTAACGCATTCGAGAATTAAAGGAATTGTATTCTTGTAACGCCACAAAATCTATCTCTCTCTCTCTCCCTCTCTCTCTCTCTTTTTAATAAAAATATATTTGAAGTGTTATGAAAAATCTTCTTTTTCTAATTTAAACGAAAATTTAATAATGATAAATCAACGATTTAAGTGAAAATTTTCATATCAAATAAAACCTTAAAATACTACGATTTCAAATCATTAATTTAAATTTAACGTAAAATGTCAAATGTTCTGACACTAAAAAAACTACTAAATAATATGGACAAAATTTAACATAAAGATATTCTTCAAATAAAAATTTGCAATTATCATTTCTAATAATTTTACTTTGTGATCCCATGAGCATCACTCTGTCAATCTTCCACACGTCCACACGATCTCATTCTAATTTGAAAAGTTATTGTAAGAGTAAGTATCTTGAAAACAATTAGTAAAAATACATACATATTCTTATTTAACATAATATAACTATAAAATGATATAACATACCAACATTCTTAGATTTAGTGCAAACCGATCGCTATATTCAATAGCTCAAGAAATTTCTTAAAAATTCCTATATCTTATAGGATTTTCATATTGACCTAACAGTTTATCTCGTAGGATTTAATATAGAAATCGATCCTAAGGTCTTAAAGTATTTCACGTCAAAATTTCTATAAACATCAAGAAAATAAGAATTTATCACTTTTGCATTATGTATTCTTACCTTAATTGATACTCAAAGAAATCTGAAAATGAAAATAATGATATTGTATAATTTTCTCAACAGTGTACGTGTGAAGTGAAATTGCAAAAAATATAGTGGCTTAAATTGTTAAAGTGGAAACACTATCCTAATTATATATACATAAATGTAACATCCATCAACCACTCAAACAAAGCGCCAAAACGTGTCAAGTCAGAATCGTAAATAATTTAAGGGTTAAATAAATCAATTTATTACCTCCATCAATCAATCAAACATATATACTCAAATTTAGAGCTTGTTTGGTATAGATTTTAAGTCAATTAAAGTCAATTTTTTTATCGTTATTTTACCATTCTAGCTGTCATTTTTGAATTCTTCTCTAACAGATAGGACTCACTTTATATCTAACAATCAAAAAATCAATTATCAAAATATATAGCAAACAAGCACTTAGAATTCAACATTTTCATTAATTAATTTATTAATGAAATTCAAATTGATACTAACGGTTGTTATTAAACAGGTAATAGTACACGTTTTTCAAAAATGTTATTTTTATGTTATTATATATATTACTAAAACATTAAAAGACAATCATTTTCTTTTTATCAAAATAAATCAGATATAACTAGTTTAAAATTATTTCATTTATAGATAATTTATGTTATTTAATACGAGATACAAAAGAAGAATAATATTGATATATTTTATCAGTTTTTATGATACTTAAATATTCGACCTAAATATAATATATGATATATTTTATAAAATACACATAAGAAAATAAAGCATTTTTACAAATAAGTGAATTAAATTTATCACATTAACTTCTAGACTTTAATTTGATAACAATGTTAGACATGGACTATTTCACTTGCCAAATGACCAATATTAAATTTTGGCCCATGTGAAAATAATAATTAAAAATTTGGAGTGTTACAATTCTCTCCATCTAATTAAAATACGGAAAATTTTCAAAATCCGCTCTTCTTTTCCCTAGGTCATGTAAAAAAATTCCATCTTTTAATTTTTTGTTTAGAAAGTCATTTCTATTGATCAAATGTCAAATTGAACTTTATTAAAAATAGTCTTCACACAGGGGCGGATTCAATGGTGGGCTGCACTTGGCTGCATCCCACTGTCACCAAGGCCTAGATGCAACGAAATTAGTGGAAATTATAGAATACCCTAGAGTTAAAATCCTGACTTTTTAAAACAGATGGGTAGTTTCACTTTACAAAAATCAGAAATATCAGATATCATATCTAAATATTAAAAATTAAATACATGATTTTCATCCCAATTCCCAACCTTAGAACCATCTTCTCTCTTTCGCTTCATCTTTCCTCTCTTGTATCACTTTCCACAAACAGCTCCATCGCCCCACCGTCGACGGCGTTTGTAGCAGGCCAACCTCGTCGTGGTGTGAAGTAGAGAGTGGTGCTGCGAGGTTAGGTTGCGACGGCTATGGTAAATCTAGCGGCGCAGCAATGTGAAGCGTCGACAACGTCGCCTCGATTTTGTTGGGAGTTATTTTTATTGGATCTACTTGCGGTGTAGGCGGTGTGTGGTGGTTGTTGTGGCGGGTGGTGTGCGTGGGTGTGGTGTGTCTACGATGGCAGTGGTGTGAGGTGCAGTGGCTGATTTTTTTTATTTTTTATTTTGTTGTTGTTGTTGTTGGATGTGGTGCAGGCGGTGGCGGCGTGGTGGATAGTGACGGTGGTTTTGGATTTATTTTGTGGTGGTGTCGCCAAGATCTGGTTGTGGTTGTGACCTAGTTTGGTTTTTGGTGGTGGTTCCTGCGATGGTTTTTGGTAGTGGGTGTTAGTTTGTTTTGAGATGGTGGACATGGTGGTGGAGCTGAAAATTGTGACTCGCAATTGTATATGTGACCTGAAAATTGTGACTGTGACTCTCAATTGTGACTCACAATTGATTAAGTTGTGATCAAAAAATTAATCGTGACCAATTAATTTAATAATTTGCAATGAGTAATGAATTGTGACCAATAAAAGTTTTGAATATGTGACCGATAAATAATCTGTGACTTGTAAAATTTTTGGATTCGTGACCAAAAATATTCTGTACCTATAAAATCTTCGACTTGTGACCGAGTAAATAAATTACGACCAATAATTTGATAAGCTGTGACTAAAAAATTAATTTGTGACTAATTAATTAGATAAGTGTGACAAAAAATTCGTAACCGAAAAATATTCTGTGACTTATAAAATTTTTGATCTGTGACCGAGAAATAAGTTACGACCAATAATTTGATAAGTTGTGACTAAAAATTAATCCGTGACTAATTAATCAGATAACTATGACCTAAATATATTAAATTAATAAAATAATTAAATCATAAATAAATTTTAATAAAATCTGATTTTTGAATTTTGAAACTTGTTTTCTTAATTCTGAAATCTACTATACTTAATCTCTCACTTATGAAATTTTCCCACAAAATTATTATTTTTTTGGTTTGAATTGTATTCAATTAGACACATAAGCCCATTAACAAATAAATTTAGTGGGCTAGCCCACCTCAAAAAAAAAAATCTTTAATCTGTAACCCACTAATTATATATAATTTTAGGTCCAATAATAATACCTATTAGTCAGTCCATTACCCATTTTCTTATTCTGACCGATCACGTATAATTCCCTTTCTTTTCCATTCGGCCATTCTCGTTTTCCTTTGCAAAACCAATTCAAATAATTCCCAAAAATAAAAAATCAAAATCCCTTAATCTTTTCACTTTGCCCCTGCCCGTAACAGCGCCGAATGAAACCGCCAATTGCCAACTCACTGCGGGTCTGTGCTCTACTAACTGCATTGAGTGACGGCGAGTACCGTCCGTGACCCTTTCTTTTTTCAAATCTGAACGTTAAAATTGAATTGGTAATTTGGTCTATTTTGAATAATTGGTTTTACTAAAGCCCCTTTTTTTATATAGGATTCAAAATAGAATGATGTTTCTTTGGAGAATAATTAGTTAAATTGGTAATGGGTGTATTTTGAATAATTTTTCGAGAATAATTACTTGTTTTATGTACAGCTATTTAAAGATTTTTTCAGTTGTTCGTGCTAGGTTTTACTAGTAATAGGGTGATTGGTGAAAAAAATTGAGTAATCGCATCCAGATTTGAAATTTGCAGATTGTTTTGGGCACAGATCGAATTTTTGAAGTTAGCTTGTGGTGGAGATTGGTGGACGCAGTTTTATTTTTTAAGGTAAGGGGAGGCGGGGAGGGGGGGACTTAAATCTTGTATTTTGGAATTTTAATCTTTTCCAATTGTTTTGGATTTTCCTGAAATCACTTGAAATGTATCGTTGGATGTAAATTATTTGGGAATTATATGATTTAATAACGATATAATATGACTTTTCCTGAGTTGTTTGAGAATTTTATAATTTAATAATTCTTGCTTACTGTTTAACACTAAACATTGAACGAGAATTTAATATAAATTTAGATCTAGATTTTATTATAGATGAATTATATGCTATAAAACATCGCCGAGTACAATTTCAATAGGTAACTTATATTATGAATTTCTCTTATTATATATAAATTTTAGTCGTACATTAAAATTTTAAAATTTTTAGCCCACTGTAATAATAATTCCTGGCTCTGCCCCTATCTTCACATGTTTCTGCTTAATTTAATTATTACAGTAGTGTTATTATTATTATTATTATTATTATTATTATTATTATTATTATTATTATTATTCCATATACAGTAGATGTGTCTTTCTGTCTAAAAATTATAACCAAACAGTACCAAAGTATTAGATAACGAACTTTTTATATAATACTAAAATAAATATCATAAATTAAGAATTAATAGCAAAAAAAATCCATTACAACATATAATTTATGTGCTAAACATAACAAGATATTAAATATAATTAAAATTATCGAGTGCTATTAAATCCTCGTAAAAACATGCCTTTCACATAATAGAGGAGGCAGCAGTAATGAGGACCATATATATGAAAACCAAATTTGAGAAAACAGAAGATGATGCTGCACTTGAAAATGGTGATGGTGCAGGAGAATCTTGGTGCACCCTAATCACCTCAACCAATAATCTTTGTCCATTCTTGCAATGCTCTGGATCTCCACTCACAAAGTACATAGGACCAGGCTTTTCGATATTAATAATGGTGTTCCCAGTGTTGTACACTGATATAGGATGGCTTTCATTGCAGTGATAGTATCCCCATTTATCCACCACCACAACTGAATCATTCTTGTACTCAAAACCTGCATACAAATCATAGCAATGAAGCCGAAGTCCCCAAATCGCAAACATGCAGTGCATGTTCAAGTACACAGTACTAAGCAACGTCGTAGAAGACATTAATAAACGAGTTTTTGAACACGTGAAATCTCAAGTTTCGTGTGTCAAGCACGTTGCAGTACATGTTAGATATGTTGGAAATGGTCTTAAAGAAGTCAGTGGGTTCAAATTAATATTCTAGTCCTGTGGATCATTCTGTTACTCTGTTCAATTTTATTTCGTAAATCTACATGTGTAAGTATTTTCAAATTATTTAAAGGGGAAAATTATACTTTAGAAACAACAAGATACTCACTACTCGGTACGAAGTAGTATCATGGAAGACAATAGACGAGTTTTTAACTTCTCGAACACTACGTATGGTCAAGTCTCATATAACAATCATGTCAAGGTTCATGGCATTATGGCATGACAAAATTCAAGAATTTGATGACTTCATGTTCTCCTTGAAAATCACTCGACTATGAAAGAAAGAAATGTTAGGATAAATAAACTCACGGAGTGAATCGCCAATCCGAAATCTCCTTGTAGCAGCCCAGTTGGAATACATTTCGGTTTCGTTAGCACCCGGCTGCCGCCATCCAGTGGCTCCACCTACTGCGAGTTCCTCTGCGGCTGTGACCGGAGCAAAAGTTGTGATGGCTAATATAATTAGTGTAACAAAATAGAAACCTAAAAAAGAGGCCATGGTTTTGCAATTCATTTTTTGTGAATTTTTGAAGTGAGTGTCTTACAGGAATCGGAATCCTCCGTAGTAAGTAGAATTTGTAACTGTTAACAAGATAAAATAAGTGATTATATAGAGTAAGTGGGATAAAGAGGGAGTTTCAAAATTTGGATCATAACCGGCAATAGACGTGGTAGGAGTGGCAGTTGGTGGAAGTTAAGGTTTGACTTGGTCCCAATTAATTATCTATCTTTCAATAAAAGGTTTATTTGTTAAAGTTTTTTATTTTCAAATTGGGCCTGGAGAGGTTAAATTTTGAAAAGCCCAGACGAAGAGTAATATATAATATAATCTTTAACCCTTTTTCTTCCCTTATTATAGAAAGTAATTTGATTGTCAACTTATTTGCAATATACGAGATATTTTACTCGTTGAGTTGTGTGACAAAATTGAATATTTGACACTCAAAATTGTTGCTTTTAGATAAACAAAGGGTGTTATCGGGAACATTAGTTGTAGTCGAGTTAGATTCAAAATAAGATGGTTAGAGCATCTCCAAAAGACTCTCTATTTATAAAGAGCATTTTATGCATAATAAATAGCATCTTTAAATTTAGAGAGAATTTTTTTTAATACAGTCCAATAAACTCTCTATTTTGATTCTTTATTTTTTTTTCAATGAACATTTAATAATTTCTTCACATATTATATTTAAATATAATTTTTTATATATTAATGACCAATCAATTCAAATGTAATTTGAAAAATTTAAAGAGTAAAGCATTGAAATTTGTACTGTATTAAATGCAATCATTGTTTATTAAAAATAAAGTGTGAATTTGGCTCTCTAATTTTGGAAAGTCAAATACACTCTTTACTTCAAAAAGTTAAATGAAAGAGTTTCTTGGAGCTCATTTTTAAGCATTGACTCTATAAAATAAAGACTATTTTGTATTTAAAGAGTCTCTTAGAAATACTCTTATATTTGCACTACCTTTTTTAATAAATGTATCAATTTTAATTGCATTAAGGTTATAACGTTTATTTATTACCAAATATATGTCGTAATTTTTTCATTGCATTGTTGTCCTTAACATTTCAATGCTTAGTAAGTGTTATATTTAATGAAAGTCCCTGTCTAAAAATTTTGTTGACATCGTCTAAAACAATGGACAAATATTTAGTCATAATTTTTACTTTTATTTTTCGCTTATTTGAAAATATGAGTGCAAATATATATATATATATATAATCAATATTAGTCTCAGATCTTTAAAGAACAAATGTTATTTATGAGATTTTTGTTTCTGTAAATCTTTTGTAAAGTTTTATGTTTCATGCTGAGTATATGATAAGAGCATGTCTTAACTCCAAATTAAAGTTTAAACTGTTTTTAAAATAAGCCCTGAGTGACCCTCCAAAGCGTAAAGGCCTAGTAGAAAAGCTAGTGAAACGAATAAAAAGGAGAAAAGGATCACTGTTTCAAGAATTTTTGTTAAGGGAATGCCAGTGGTATCCTTGCAAAAATGGAGTTAGGCCCAAATTCATATATCTCAGATGGCATTTTTTTTTTTTTAATTTCTAAGAAAAGTTTAAAAAAAAAAAAAGATATTATCTTATCAAAAGATATTTCAATTAAGAAAAGTATCGAGTAGGATTTTTATAATTTGATTTATAACCGCCTTATATCTTCCTTATAATCCTTGAAATACTTCCTTTTTTCAGGACCCCCCTCCCCCCTCTATTTGGTATCAGAGCTTAAGTTTGTTCCTGTGTTGGTGATTTCAGTATATTTCTTCAGACTTTAGAAAATGTATAATTCTTTGAATCTTTAGAAAATTCTTACTAAGTCTTTTTGTATTAAACATTTTTTACATGCTTCTAAAAAATAATTTTTACATTTAACTCTTAATTTTTTACTAGGATACCATTTACATAAAAAACATGGTATATTATCTGAACCTGTTTCTTTTACCCATTTATGTTTACATTCTAATTCTATATCCATAAATTCTAATTCTTCATCTGAATCTGATAGATTTTTAATATTTGAAAATTCTTGTATAGAAAAATTAGAAATTTTAGGAGAAAATATATTAAAATATTGGGAAAAAGATAAAGTTTTTTGTGAAATAAAAATAAAAAATCCAGAATATATAATTAAGACAAAAAATATTGAAGCAACAAACCAAGATCAAAAATACTTTTTAGCATGTTTAAATGCTCTTTCAGAACATTTTAGTCAAGATCATAAGAAATTTAAATGTTACGTTGTTTTTCAAGGCAGACTTCCAGGAGTTTATCATACTTGGATAGAAGTATCATATTGTATAAAAAAATTTTCAGACCCTTTATATAAAGGTTTTTATTCAGTTTCAGAAGCATTAGACGAATGCAGAAAGTATTTAGGAATTAATTATTTTATAGCCTCTTCATTAAAAAATGTTTCAGATCAGCCATTAGATTTTTCTTCAAATTTTTGTCAACATTGTGAATGCATGATTAGAAATTTTAAATGAATCAAATCAGATTTTACAACAAGAAAAATTAGCTTTACAAAAGAAGATTTCTGATCTAGAACAAGAAATTATTAAAATAAAAATTTTAAATTCAGATTTTCAGACAGTTTCAGGCACTATAGAGCCCAAGAAGTCTATAGCTAGTCCAGCTCAAACGGTAGCTGGTAAAGACTTAACAAATCCGTTTATGGTTCTGGACTTACCAAAAGCTCAACAGACTCAGGAGGCTGTTGATTCTCCTACTAATCAGACTCAACAGGCTAAAAATCCTGTTACAGAAAATAAAATTACTGAAGAACAGACTCAACAGACTGTAAATTCTGCTACTAGATTAATTAATCCAACAGATTTAAAACAGAAAAGTCCAGTTAATCTTATCCCAGAATCATTTCAATCATCACAAGATCCAGAGCAAATTACTCAATCAGATATAAAAAGATTGAAAGAAATGTTTAAATTCATATATCTCAGATGGCATTTTTTTTTTTTTAATTTCTAAGAAAAGTTTAAAAAAAAAAAAAGATATTATCTTATCAAAAGATATTTCAATTAAGAAAAGTATCGAGTAGGATTTTTATAATTTGATTTATAACCGCCTTATATCTTCCTTATAATCCTTGAAATACTTCCTTTTTTCAGGACCCCCCTCCCCCCTCTATTTGGTATCAGAGCTTAAGTTTGTTCCTGTGTTGGTGATTTCAGTATATTTCTTCAGACTTTAGAAAATGTATAATTCTTTGAATCTTTAGAAAATTCTTACTAAGTCTTTTTGTATTAAACATTTTTTACATGCTTCTAAAAAATAATTTTTACATTTAACTCTTAATTTTTTACTAGGATACCATTTACATAAAAAAACATGGTATACT